GCCCCTTCCCACTATCCCTCCCACCTGCTCCCCTTCCACTGCCCCCCACCTACCCCTTCCTCCACACCATTGTCCCCATCCCTGCCCTCTGTATACCACTGCCCCCTCCACCCGCCTTCTCTTCCATCCGCCTCTTCATCACTCTCTGCTCCTAGCATAGGTCCCTGGCCATCTGTACACCTGCAGCTTCTCTCCCTCTCTCCATTGCATCCCAACCACCTCTGCCTCAACACCTATATCACCCTGCTACTCCCACCGACCTGTATACTGTAGCCCGGGGGGAGGGCAACCGTTTTTGGGTCAAGCACCGCTGACCCACAGAAAAATGAGTTGGCGGCCACATACAAGTGAGAAGCCAAAAAACCCAAACAAACAAAAGAAACCCCCCTTACTGATGTGGTCCCGGAAGAAGAAGACTTCCCTCGCACACCAGAGCCTAGGGGTGCCCAAGTTGTTAGATTTTGTGTGCCCCAGCCCCCTGGCCTTAGGTTCCCTCACCCTAGCTGTAGACTAAGGAATCCAGGGAATTTATGTTTTTATGCCTGGTTATTCTAGTCTTCACTGTCATATTCATGGTAAAATCCATATTCCTGTTTGGCTGAGACTTCTGTGCCAACTCTACTTCCTTCTTTCCTGGTTTTGATTGATTTGTTGATGTTCCTTTATTGTTTGGATTTTCTACAGAGAAATTGGAATTTGTAAGTGATGAATTCATGGTATTTTAAAAATTATTTCCCCTTCCTTTATTTCTGGGGGGAAAACATACCAAACTATGTCTTTTCCACATCAGTCTAGAGTGACCAAGGGTAGGCAACTTTTTCAAACCAAAGAGCCAAACTACATCAAAATTCAGAACAGGTGGTCAACAAATTGCCATGTAAGAATGCCCATTTACATGACTAAAAATATACAACTGAATATTACTGATAATTTACATAATGATTAATAATATCATAAATGAAACATACTCACAGACTTTATTTAATGGGACTTCTGCTGCATCTTTTTGCACATTTCTTTGAAGTTTACATCATAACTGTTCAAATCCCTCTTCATGCACTCATTCAGGCTGCCTTCTGTTACTCTTATGGCAAGGGGTTAGAGGGTGTGGGTGTCTGGGCTGAAGTGTATGAGGGGCTCAGGGCAGCGGGTTTGGGGGTATGATTGACTCAGGGCATAAGGTTGGGGTGTGTGGGGTGCAGGAGTGTTATGGTAGAGGACTGGGGATGTGGGGGTATGATGGGCTCAGAGCAGGGGGGTTAGGTGTATGATGGGCTCAGGGTTGGGATGAGGGTGGTGCAGGAGTATTATGATGCTGTGGCCACATGGAATCTGGGCCCCAGTTAGGGGCTTGTTAGCCAGGCTTCATTTTTAAGTAAAATAAAATATTAGGTCCAACACAAAAGGTTTCAACATTGTCTTTCTTTAGGACAGGAGTGGAGAACTTTTTTTTGGTCGGAGGCTACTGACTCACAGAAAAAAATCAATCGGGAGCCACCCAAGTGAGAAGCAAAAAAACCCGGAAAAACCTCCAAAAACCCACAACCCTCATTCATATGGCCTCCAACTGAAATACTTCACTCTCCTCATGGTGGGGAGAGGATCAGGGAGGACTAAGATTCTAGGACTCAGGCCAAGATTTACTCTTCTGGGGTTCCAGGGTTAGTAGATTTTGTGGATCCTCCTAGGCTCTGGGGTGGGGCCAAAAATGATGGGTTACCTGTGCAGGACAGGGCTGCTGGAAGTAGGGTGTCTGGCTGTAAGGAGGAGTGGAGCAGGGAGGGGGCAGGAACAGGGTGGGGCAGGGTATCTGGCCAGGCGGCAGGGGGCAGGATCGGGCTGAGGGCAATGTTTCTGGTTGAGGGGAGGGGTCAAGCTGGGGGCAGGGTGTCTGGCGGGGAGGGTGAATGAAGGGGGCAGGAGTGCAGGAGCTGGGCATGAGAGCATGGGGGGCCGGGCACTTACTTTTGTGTCGCATCGCAGGCACCATGTAACATGGCCTCCCACTGCTCCCAGTCACCAGAAGGAAACCTCCAGGAAGGATTTGCAGGGGAAGCCTCCAGGAAGTGCATCCTGCAAGGCTGGCCCCCAGCCAGGGGAAGGAAAACAGCAACGCATGGAGCCATTTTTGGCTCCGTTTGTTCCCCACGTGCTGGATCTGGAGTAGGGGTGTAAGCGACTAGTCGACTACCCGATAAGCACATGCTTATTGAGTAGGAACTCAACTAGTTGTTTCCCCTCTGCCCTTGTTGCCTCTGTCAGATGCAGCAAGGCGGAGAGCAGGAGCCAGGGAGCGGAGGAGAAGCCGGGGTCCCCCGTTGTGCTTCCGCTTTTAAAATGTATTAAGAGTCATCAGCTGCTGTAGAGTATCTAGTACAGATACACTATACCAAAGGGAGAGCTCGCTACCATAAGTATAATTACTCTACCTACATGAGAGGCAGAAACTATGTTGACAGGAGACTGTCTCCCACTGATACAGCACTGGTGTTGTCAGCACTTAAGACAATATAACTCACTTGAGGGGAAGTTGTCTTCACAATGAGCAACAGAAGTTCTATCAACTCAAGCAGAAGTGTAGACAGCCCTTAGAGTACGTCTATACTTGCTCCCTAGTTTGAGCTAGGGATGCAAATGTAGGCGACAGAAATTGCTAATGAAGCAGGGATTTAAATATTCCACACTTCATTAGCATGATCTCGCTGGCGTGTTACTCCGCTCAACAGCTGATTTGAACCGGGAAGTGCGCGCAGGGACGCGTTAGTTCAAAATAAACCCCTTGGTTCAAACTAATGTTACTCAAAAAATATTTAAATCCCCGCTTCATTAGCAATTTTGGTCACCTACATTTGCATCCCTAGCTCAAACTAGGGAGCAAGTATAGACGTACTCTAAGGGCTGTCTACACTTCTGCTTGAGTTGATAGAACTTCTGTTGCTCATTGTGAAGACAACTTCCCCTCAAGTGAGTTATATTGTCTTAAGTGCTGACAACACCAGTGCTGTATCAGTGGGAGACAGTCTCCTGTCAACATAGTTTCTGCCTCTCATGTAGGTAGAGTAATTATACTTATGGTAGCGAGCTCTCCCTTTGGTATAGTGTATCTTTACTAGATACTCTACAGCAGCTGATGACTCTTAATACATTTTAAAAGCGGAAGCACAACGGGGGACCCCGGCTTCTCCTCCGCTCCCTGGCTCCTGCTCTCCGCCTTGCTGCATGACCCCAAGAGATTAACCTTTAAGTTGCAAAGCAACTTATTTTTGCATTCAAAACTGGTTATTGATTTTAAAAGCTAAAAGGACTTTAAAATTCAAACAGGTCATTATTTATGGACAATGCAATATGTAATATATTTTAGGGAACAATCTTGCCTTGCACCGATTTTGAACATTGACTAAATGACCTTAAATAGTTTCTCTCCACCCCATCACCTCCCCTCTATCTTGTGATATGTTTAAGCTGTATAGTCCATTAATATTACAAAACTTGAGTATTTTTTCAGATGTATTTTTTAAATGTTTTCTATCACAAGCTTTCTTTGACATAGTAACTTTTACATCTTATGGCTCCCATCCTCCAAAGATTTACGTATATGCTTAATTTTACACATTGTGAACAGTCCTATTGATTTCATTGAGACTCCTCAAAAAGTGAAGAATTTCAAGTGACTAGTGACTTTGATTCAGCTGAGACATCTTAGAAAGGACTGATGTTAAGGGGATTTATATTGAGCATGTTTTGAAATATAATCCAAATAATAATAATCCCAAAATAAATTTCAAGATGGACACTGAAAATAATCACTTTTGAAATTTTGTCTACCGTGTAAATTTATGAATGAGCATCAGTCTTTGCAGAACTTGTTCCAATCTTTCGATTGTTCTCTTTTTGTTGTGTGAATAACAGAGAATCAGAGGACACTACTGCCAACCTGATAGCAGACCTATGTAACTTTGTTCTCACCCACAATTATTTCCGGTTTGAGAACAACTTATACCTCCAGATCAGCGGCACAGCCATGGGTACACGCATGGCCCCACAGTATGCTAACATCTTTATGGCTGACCTAGAACAACGTTTCCTCAACTCCCGTCCCCTTTCACCCCTCCTCTACCTACGGTACATCGATGACATCTTTATGATCTGGACACATGGCCAAGAAACACTGGAGATATTCCACAGAGATTTCAACAACCTACACCCCACCATCAACCTCAGCCTGGACCATTCTACACGAGAGATCCACTTCCTGGACACCACCGTACAAATCAACAATGGAAAATTAGACACCACTCTCTACAGAAAACCCACTGACTCATACAGTTACCTACATGCATCCAGCTCCCATCCAGAACACACCACACGATCCATCGTCTATAGCCAAGCCCTTCGATACAACCGCATCTGCTCTAACCCCACTGACAGAGACCAGAAGCTTCAGGATCTCTACCAAGCATTTATAAATCTCAACTACCCACCCGGAGAAATAAAAAAGCAAATTGAAAGAGCCAGACGAATACCTAGAAACCATCTACTTCAAGACAGACCCAAGAAAACCAACAATAGAACACCACTTGTCATCACCTACAACCCCCAACTTAAACCTGTCCAACACATTATCAATAAACTACAGCCTATATTGGAACAGGATACCATACTCAAAGAGGCTCTGGGAGACAGACCCATAGTCTCCTATAGACAACCACCTAACCTCAAGATGATTCTTACCAACCACCACAGGACATACCACACTAATACCAACCCTGGTACCTTCCCTTGCAACAAACCCCGTTGCCAGCTTTGTCCACATATTCATTCTGCTGATACCATTATTGGACCTAACCAAGTGAGTTATAAGATCAAGAACACATATTCCTGCGCATCCAGAAATATAATCTATGCTATCATGTGCCGAAAGTGTCCGTCTGCTATGTACATTGGACAAACATCTCAGACACTTCGCCAAAGGATTAATGCCCACAAAACAGATATCAGACAAGATCACAAAGAGAAAACAGTTTCTTGCCACTTTAACCAGAAAGGACACTCTCTAAATGACTTAGCCACCTGCATTCTGCTACAAAGACCTTTTACATCTGCACTTGAAAGGGAATCCTCTGAACTGTCATTCATGTTAAAATTCGACACTTACCACCAGGGACTTAACAAGTCTTTGAACTTTCTCACCCATTATCAAGACAGTTTCCCCAATTATCACCTGTAATACCATTAACTCACAAACATCCCACTCTCCCTACCTTTAATATCAGCAATTCACAGACACTTACCTTCCTTCCTCCCCCTTCCCACCCCCCCCGCATCCCCCTTCTGTTCTGCAATGTGATTTGTCCTTTTCATATTTGTTCATTTTTTTTAATTGTATCTTTTGGTATATATGGTTGTGACTATTTTCTTCCACTATTTGATCTGAGGAAGTGGGTCTGGCCCACGAAAGCTCATCATCTAATAAACCATCTTGTTAGTCTTTAAAGTGCTACATTGTCCTGCATTTTGCTTCAACTACCCCAGACTAACACGGCTACATCTCTATCACTCTTTCTTTAGTAAGTATTTTGGATTAGATGAGTATAACTTTTTAGGCCTCAGTGCACAATACAATATGCTCCAGTGTTTTCATGACTTGTCACTCATTTTGTAATATTTTATATTTTTGGTAAGGAATATTTATTGGTTTATGTATGTGTTTTTAGGAGTGAGGCGGAAGAATAATATATCCAAGTTATTGACATCATGACAACCATCAGACACAGAAAGGGAATAAAAGTCACAGAAGTTTCTGAAGATCATCTTTCACAGGAGAAGAATGTGAAGCCTGATGGAAAAGTTCTATCTGGTAGGTAATTTTTTTAAAAAAAAAGCATTGTGGATTCTCGCTAATGTCATATTTTTGGTATTTATCCTTATGCATAGATGACAACTAGATATTGATAGTTATTATCAAAGTACAGCCAACTCTTATTATGATGAAAGCTATTCTCATCAAGGGCACAAAGTGATGCTGTAGAGTACTGCACTAGCTTCTTTTATCCCATTTTCAAATTCTAGATTAGGTTACAAATTAAAATAATTTTGCCAACTTTGTAAAACTGAGCACACATTTAGCAGAGTTCATCACGATTGGCAGTCTTTACTCAAGAGAGGCATAGGACTGGAGTGACTTAAATCTGCCAATCAGGCATCTCTCAGTTAAACCTGTAAAATGTGTGCTTCCAACACAGAAGGCTCATGCAAATGATTTTAACTGTGATTCTTTAATATGAAGATTTGAAGACCTCTGATAGGTGATCATATCTGCATGACTTAAGAACAAGCAAATTACAAGTGGTGTCAGAGCTTGCTTTAACTAAAACCTTAATGGCTTGGGTAGGTGTAAGTTGGATTCACAGTGCTACTTTCAAAATATTTTTGTTTTGTTGGTATTGTTATGTAAATAAAAGAAGGATGAAGGGAAATTCTCTCACGAAAATGCTTGAGAGTTCACACCATTTATTTTTATTTTTGTTAGGGCCAAGTTTTCAATCTGCAACATCAGATTTTGTGCTTGCAAAATTGGGCCCACCTGCGTTTGTTCGTACATTTTGAACAGGGGAATAGCCAATTTATCCAATTTGTGTGTGCATATGTAAGTAGGCAAAATATAGCTCAGATATATAAGTGAATTGTCTTCAGTTCCATTCATTCACGCTTGCTAATATCTCATCTGGTTTTGCCCAGTGTGACAAAAAGCAGGATTATTGAAGTCAACTTCAAGAAGATTTTAAAACAAAAGTGCACAAGTAGTAAACTGGATTGCTTTTTTTTTTTTTTTTTTTTAAAGAAATGCAGTCTCTACACAATATAGTTTATAATCTTGTTCTGATGTCAGCAGGTGGTCATCTGCAATTCAAAGCATGATATCGTCAAAGATTGCTTTGATCAATACTCAGCCTCAGTGTGGACGTTTATTCAACATGAAATGCTGTTTGAAAAAAATAATAAAACAAGAAGCCAAATTCAGAAATTTAATGAAAAAGATTTTGATGTCTTGCTTTGTGAACTGTCATGCTATAGATCATTAAGTAAAAACAATGCCCTGAAGGATATTCCAAACTCTTTGTAATTTGATTTATAAACTAGATGTGGTGTTTATCTAGATTCGTAGGAGATTATAGGGCAATTTTTAAAACTGCAAATTTACATTTTCCCCTTCAAACAAAAGATTTTTCATTCTATGTGTAACTAAAATATTCAAAGTTTCATACAACAGAAAAATCACAAGTAGAGTTTCCATAAAGCAGGTTTCAGAGGTAGCATCATGTGCCTGCAGTGCTTCTCTGCCATGTACATTGGACAAACTGGATTGTTTCTGTGCAACAGAATAAATGGACACAGATCAGACATCAAGAATGGTAACGTACAAAAACCAGTGGGAGAAATCAGCCTTTTAACTGATTTTAACCTTGTTGGATACACAGTTACAGACTTAAAAGTTGCCATTCTCAAGCAAAACAACTTCAAAAGCAGGCTGCAATGTGAAACTGCTGAGCTGGAATTTATATGCAAATTCTACACCATAAGAATGGGTCTGAATAGGAACTAGGAATGGCTCTCATTACAACAAATAATTTTCCACTTTAGGTGGCCTCATCTTCTTATTCACATCTACCCTGAATAAATTCGTTCTGATGTAACACTCGCATCTCTATATCTCTACTCAAAAGCAGGCTGCAATGTGAAACTGCTGAGCTGGAATTTATATGCAAATTCTACACCATAAGAATGGGTCTGAATAGGAACTAGGAATGGCTCTCATTACAACAAATAATTTTCCACTTTAGGTGGCCTCATCTTCTTATTCACATCTACCCTGAATAAATTCGTTCTGATGTAACACTCGCATCTCTATATCTCTACTATGGTGGGGGGGGGGGGGGGGGGGGGGGGAGGAGGTTTCACTTCATGCATCTGATGAAGTGAGTAGTAACTCACAAAAGCTTATGCCATAATGAATTTTAATTTAATTTTGTTAATTTTGAAGGTGCCACTGGATTCCTTGTTGTTTTTCCATAAAGCAGTTTGAGAACAAGGCTTTAGTTATGTGCAAGTCCTGCACTCCACTAGTGGTGGTTCTGAAATCCATTTAAAATACATACATCAGAATGACAAGCTTCACAATTGCAGAGTGAAAGTGTTTTTCTTTTGTACGTTTATACAGGTGGAAAGCTATGGAAGAGACTTTCATTTACAGTTGGTGGAACTGTTGCTATATTGCTTGGACTTCTTACTTCTGTTTATCTTGCTACTCTACATGAAAATGACCTGTGGTTTTCCAATATTAAGGTAATGAAATTATTTTGATTATTGCTTCTGTGCTTTCCTCTTTGCAGCCTATCAGAAGTTTCCATGTTTCACATTTAAAAAAAAGTATTTGTCTCGTCTCTCATACTCAATTATAGAATGTTCTCTCTAAAGACAGGTGTGTGTGTGTTAGAGAGCAAGAATGCACATTTCCCATTTTAACTTTTTCCCCTATTTTCTCAAATCGAGAACCCTTCAGTTACTTCCATAAGTACCATTTTTCAGATTATGCTCCAAAGATGTTTACACAAGAAACTCTATTATGTTCCTGCTGTATTAAAAGGTGCTTAAAATCTTGCCTACAAATGATCACCTAGAAAAATAAAAAATGCTGATTTCTCAACTTTTAAAAAGCATTATTTTTTAAAAAGAGATGCCTTACCAAAATCCTGGCATGCATCTCTGTAAGCAAGTCTTCAATATGAACATAAAGTTATACAGCCTGTCTCCGACTTACGAACCGGTTACGGACCAAGCAATTGGTCTTAACTCAGTTTGTTTGTAAGTCGGACCCCATGAGTTACACGCGCTGTTCGTAAGCGCGGATCGCGTTCGTAACTCGGGTCTGCCATTTACGACATTTTTGGTCATAACTGTGAACGGTTGTAAGTCGACCGTTCGCAACTCGGGGACCGGCTGTATTTACAAAGCGATCCTTCTGATCAATTAGGGCACAGATAATCATTAGTAAAATGAAACACTCCAAGTAGTCAGTGATTATGTTTATTTTCATGTAGTAGCATCCTTTATTTGAAAATGTAAAAGCACTTTTCAAATATTTATTAAAGACCTGTGTGAGAAATGGGATTATCCCCATTTTACAGAATAATAAATTAAGGCATGGGTCAAGAAGGTCACTTAAGTCATTGGCAGAACTAGAAGTTGAGCCCTACACTGATGTACTTCACTCAAACCACTAGACCAGTGTTTCTCAACCTTTTTTTATAAAGTACCCCTTAAAAAAAAAAAGTACTCTCAGTACCTACAGTTTCAGACACACACATTTTTTTCCTACCATTGCAACACATTTGATTAAACAACTTAATAGTAGGCGGGTGGGTGATGAAATTTTTCGGTGTAAAAAGTACAAAAATAATAAAATGCTGTAAAACTTAAAACAAAAAATTCAGTTGTCTCCAAATTTTAGTTGTGTTGACGTACCCCCCCAATCTTCTCGAGTACCCCTGAGGGTACTCATATCACTGGTTGAGATACAATGCACTAGACCAGTTATCCTGGTACATTTGTTTTTTAATACAGTACCTCAAATGGGGATGTGATATATATAGCTACACTTTTTCTTCTTTGAGGTTGTTACATGCAAATTCTTACCCTAACATTAGTTCTAATCATCTTTTTCACAAACTAGGCAGCCTCCTAGCTTAGGCCCTATCCCTTGTCCCTCTTCATTTTTAGTTTTTTCCAGCAAGGCACCTTTGGTAGTGGGGGGAGGGGAGAACTGTCTCATGGCATCTGGCAACAGCCCCTATTGTTTGGTTTCCCACATTAATTCTTTGTCTTGAGTGGAAAGTACAAGATCCAAAATGGCCTGGCCACATGTCCTGGCAGGACCAACTATCATCCAGTCTTGCAGGAAAAACAAGACTACTCACAGGTCATCAATTTGAGTACCAAGCCTTTCTGTTTTCAGAGTATCACTAATGGCCCTTATTAGCACATCTAGATTTATAAAAAGAGTCACACTTCATATTTCTAACTTCTTATATGAGAATGATACATGCACAGAAATAGAATATACACATTCAGCAGATCATAACTTTAAAATATGTCAAGGGATGTAGTTTGTCTAAAGTTTCTTTGAATTATGCGTATTCATAAGCTAATTTTCATAAAGCACTGGGGGCAAGAGAATGTATATGAGCTTCTTAAGCACCTTTTTAAGGTTAACAAATTAACACCTTTTTATAATATGCACTTTTTTGTATTTCTAAAAAAGCATTTTCATATGAGAAACAAAAGCAATAGTTACCAGTTACAGAAATAGTTACTGCTGGACTGCATGAATAACATTGTTTTGCAGCAGCCTCATCTTTCTTTGGTTGCACAGGTAGAGGTGCTTAATGTATACTGTTGATAAACATGAGGCTCACTTTTGACAATCTGTGCTTTTTTAGATTAAATGTGTCTATAAATCCACATACATGACCGAAAAGATAAAATGTTTTATATTCACCTCTGAAAAATAGTTTGTGAAAGTGTTAAAACTTACACAGGATGGCAGTAGTGACAAACATGTTTATCATCACAATAATATTGCTCAAAAATAGATAAATGCACACTATTTAATTTTTTCTTATATCTAATGGAATTAGAAGTGGTATACATTGTAAAATAAACTTTATATTTTTGAGTGATACATGCTTTTTATTGGGGTGCAAGCTGTGTGCATGCTCTCTTTTCATTGTTTCTGAGGCTACGTCTACACTACAGTGAAAAGTTGGAAAAAGATACGCAAATTGCAAAGTGCAATTTGCATAACTTTTTCCACTTTTCTTTCAAAAGAAGCTTTTCCAAAATGTGGCATGTCTACATGGCACCAAATTTCGGAAAAATCTCCTCTTTCGAGTCTTCCCTTCTTCCTCGTAAAATGAGGTTTACAGGCATGGAGAAAGAACACTTCTGCTTTTCTGAAATTTTTTTATCCTTGGATGTGGCATACCTCTGTTATCCCAGAAAAGTTATCCTGGAAAAGAGCAGCAGTCTAGATATAGCCTGAGAAAATTGTTTCTTTCCCATTTAGTAGATGTTAAGTGTCATACTTTTCAGTGGGCTTCAGATCAACTTTAACTTTGTAAACATAAATATAAAACTTGGACTTGAATAGGCAGACAAGCATTTGCAAAAATATACTTGTTACAAGCTTATACCTGTTTGATCATGCAAATTTAGAGGCTATTTCTATCAAATTGGCTTGAAATTATTTAACATAATTTAAGAAAAAAAGGGTTAGGCTCTGCTACTTGTGCTTTATTTGCCAATTTAAGGAGAACTTTGGGATGATTCAAAACTGCGGTCATGTACTCTCTTGCAAGGTACTATATATTTAAGTTTATACACAAATACACACACTCCATGTCAGGAATTGGTTATCTTTTCAGTTAATACAGACCCTCATGCATACATCTGAGTTTTAATGATAAAACAGACTCTCCCCCTAAACTAGACGATGAATATTTTTTCGTCATCACTACATCTTATAAATGTGTATTGCGACATGTAACTTACTTGTCACGAGTGTTATGTAATAAGAAGAGTACTGTAGTGAGGCGGAGTGGTCGCCCACTGACCTGGAGTGGGAAGAGCCTCTCCGGGAGCCCTCTTGGGCAGAGTCTGGCCCGCCCATTCACCTGACCGAAAGTAAGGAGGCATGGCTAGGACTATAAAAACCTAGCCCAGGAGCTCAGTCAGGGCTCAGCCACCAGAGGAACCAGGTGCCTGCCATGTGCTCCCAAGCTAGGAGGCTGAGGACTAGTCTGGACTACTGAGCTTTCAGGAGGCTGAGGACTGGCCTGGCCCACTGGGACCTCTGTTGGACAGTGACTGGGAGGAGGGTCAACCCGTGCCAGGGCTGTCAAGCCCCAACACCCCAGTGTACCTGCCGGAGGCCCTGGTATACATGGGGAAAACGGAAGAAGTCCAGGGATAGCCGACATTAGTCGGGCCATTCTAGAACATTAGTCAGCATATTGCGGTGTGTATTCCCTTTGACTCAGCAGCAGACTGTTCTGCTGCTGTTAGGACCCTTGGCTGGGACACAGTGGAGTGGGTATACCTGTGTCCCTCCTACCACCCAATCCCTGTGTGGCAGTCTTCCCTCTCTGCCACTCCAGGCCCATCTCCTGTGCTGGCTGGATCTCTGCCAGAAGTAGGAGACCTGACTGTTCCTCTATTTTACTATAACTGTTTGTTTGCCACCCCACCCTGAACTAGGGCCTGGGCCTCTGTGGCTATTTGTTTGTTGCTTTGCCCTGCACCAGGGCTGGGACCCCTAGGGGTATATCTAGACTGCGTTCCTCTTCTGAAAGAGGAAATGCAAATGAAATGCTGATTAGCATATTCTCACGCTTCATTTGCATATCCTCTTCCAACCCTTCTTGCGGAAGAGGTTTCTTTTTCATACACACACACACACACACACACACACACACACACACACACACACACACCTTTTTCGAAAGAACCTATAAGCCTCATTTTTTGAGGAATACGGGTTCTTTCAAAAAAGGGGTTTTTTTTGTGAAAAAGCTGCGTCTAGACTGCATTTTTTGGCAAAAAACCTTTTCCGCAAAAAGGGTCAGAAGAGGATATGCAAATGAAGCATGAGAATATACTAATCAGCGCTTCATTTGCATTTCCTCTTTCAGAAGAGGAAAGCAATCTAGATGTACCCTAACTGTGTAAACGGTACTACAGTAAAACTGCGATGATCCGGCATCTGATGGTCCGGCACTACTGATGGTACCATCAGGAACCCGGAAGTGCTCCAGGCAGCCGGACCATTGGGGCTGCTCTGCCCCCAGCTTCCCCGATTCAGCCACTGCTAAAACTGACCAGCGCTGAATCCGGGAAGCAGGGGGCAGAACAGCTGAAGTGCTGCCGGGTAGGTCCCATAGCACTGCCCCTCAGGGCTGCGGGACCAACCCGGCAGCACCCCAGCTGTCCCAGATTCAGCCGCTGCTGTAATTGACCAGCGGCTGACTCCAGGAAGCCCGGGGCAGAGCAGCTCTGCCCCAGCTTCCTGGAATCAGCCGCTGGTCAGTTTCAGCAGCAGCTGACTTGGGTACACCCGGAACCGTGTAGCCAGACCGCGCCCCCC